AGCTTCCAACTTTTATGGGCAATGTTCCCTATTCCCTGGTCAGTTAACTAAAGCTGTAAGTCAATATGAAGAGTAAAGGCCAATTATCCTGGTCCCTGGTCACAGCTGAAAGCCCTTTCCAGAAAGCTAGAAGAGCCTGTTTTTCCAGGTGGTATGGAGATATCCTTTGAGGGGCCATGTGGTTGATAGGAAGATTCTCAAAGGGAAAACATTTGCTAGAAAGAGAGCAGAGATGAGGATGAGAAATCAAATGGATTCCCTTGGATGTCAGTGTAGAACTCCAAAGTTCTGTGATTTTAGTTCTGCTTCTGGCAGCAAGACCTATAAATAAATGAAAGGGGGGAAAACTCTTCAAAATTGAAGAGGGAATAGCCCTGTTTTCTCACTTTAGCCTCCAAGTTTCCTTGGCTCTCCTGCTGCATTTTCTCCTCCTCCTTCCTGAAGTGTTTAGAATTTCTTTCCATACTGAGTATGTGCGTCCTTCCAGATGCACATACCTACCACATTTCCCACAGCTGAACTGTACAAGGGATGTTTTGTCCTGTAAGGATTTTGGTATAATATTTATTGCCAGACTAATTTAAATTCACTTGAAAGGGCTAGTTACTATGAATAGTAAAATAACCTATTATGAGAATCCTATTCTGATTTAAAATGGAAATGTATCCAATGGCTAAAGTAAATCAGCATAATAACTCGGCACTTAAGTGTCTATTAATTCCTAAGAATTCTAATTTCTCATGCCTGTGGTTTAATTTTGTCTCATAGCATCACAGTTCATAGTGGGGACACAGGGGGTGACCTTTCAATGCCTGCCATCACAGCAGTTTAGATGTTCAGATTTTAAATCTAATTTATATTCCAGTGTCTCTTGAACTTATTGGATGCCTATATATTTACTCGCACATATGGGTGCTTAAAAATAGGCAGTGTCATCTAATGGTGTGTAATTATAATTTAGAACAGCACTGCACAATCTAAAAAAAATGTTTTATTAAGTCAGATTTATCTTATCTTTAACCTCCTCCTCTGTGATGGTGGTTAGCATCAGACTCTCAAAATAATGTACATTTTACCATTCCAGCAAGGGTGACAAAGTGAATCCCAGAACTGGTTTCTTCCCAGTGTCCTGAAAACACCAGCCATAACCTCTGAAGTACTTTTTCCTCTAGTAGATATGACATTTGTAAAAATTGCTGAGTGTAAGACAAAGGAGATAACATCTGGCAACTTTCCCCTTCTGCCCTCAACTAAAAGAAAAGCATCTGTTCAGTGTGAGGCCCTGTAGTGAGTGATGCTTGGGAAGGAAAGTTTGTAATTGAAGTTCGTAATCTCTCCCATTTCTAGTATATGATTGTGTGAAACCCTTAAGAACACATGGCTACCTGTGTTTTCAGGTCTCGGACAAATACTCCCCAGAACAAATCCTGCAGATCTGTCCTGGTTCACAAAAACAGTAAACCTGAGGCAGGGGCTCTGCTCTCTCGAATGGCACTCTCCTTCATCTGTAACTTGTGTGGAACTCTCCTCAGGCTTTCACGCCCTCTGCTCCCTTAACTCAGAAACTGCCACCACCTCATTGAAGCCTCAAAGAATCTGTTAACCAATTCAGATTATGTACATGCCTTGGTTCTTCACACTATCAGTTATACTAAAAGGCATGTTTACCTATTAAAGGGATTCTGTGTGTCAGCAAACTGCATAGGGAATTGGGGTTGGAGAGAGGTGGTAGGAAAGTTCTGAAAAGCCATCAGATTTAGACAGTCTGAGGGTGAGGGCTGAACCCAGATATGTCTCCCTATTCCCTGGGAAGGTGGACAGCTGGCAGGTGCTGACTCTAGGGTTTTGAATGTAAAGAAAACCTTCCTCCTCCTCTGAGATTGGTCATGCCTGAGCCAGCCCAGTCTGTAAGCATGTCTCCTCCCTCCTGCTCCTCTGGCCCAACCCCGCTGTCCTCCTCCTGCCCACTGCATGGGCACTTTCAGGAGCTGTGTGTGTGTGTGTGTGTGTGTGTGTGTATTTGCTTTCTGAATGACTGAAATTTGATTCATATTTATTAGAGCTTTCTTTTAAAATTAGAACTTTCCTGCTCTGATATCATTTCAGACAAATAACTAGGTCACTAGGCTATATTTCCTTCACAAATTGCTTTAAGAATACAGTATTATTAGTAGTAAATAACATAACAAATGAAACAATAGTTTTACTTATATAAATTTATAAAAGATGATCTCATAAAAATAATAAATTGGTAAATATTACCGATTACCAGTATTACTTCACTTAGGTCATCATATGTTTTATTTATACCTCTTAGAGATATATGTGTTTGCATTTCCCAGGTGTTTTTAAATAGGCTAGCTATCTATTAAATCAGTGACCAGTGACCAGTGATAGCAATAGGAATTTATAGAGCACTTCCTAGGGGTGAGGCACTCACTGATGATCAAAGAAGTCAATCCCAGAGAAAGAGAATCCTTCTCTGAGGTCAGGGCCCATCCAGTAGCAATCCAGCATGCTTCTTTTCTAATAGTCCATATTGCAATTTATTCTGGAATAAAATTATGGGCATTTAGAGTTAAGATATTGAAACATAAAAACATATAAGTATAACCATAGACATATTTTCTAGTTTAACTATACACCTCAAAAGAGAGTGCTTTCAATACTTTGCCCCACTTTTCCAGTTAGACACACACTACAATGTAATTTATAGTTTTCTTGATGAATACTCCATATTCGAAAAGGACAGATAGGTCAACGTCCTTAAATGTACTGTAATATTTTTTACTTTTATGTCTTTCCATGCTAGATGCTTCACCTCATGAAAGCAATGATCATCTACATTGCTTACTTTGAATATGCAGGTCCTAAATCAACATTTCCTCTTGTTTAACACTGCTTTGTAGTCACTGAATGAGTTACCCTTTTTAGAAACTTCCCTTGTCCCCTCCCCAAAGCTTTCTTCAGGTTCAATTCAAGCCCTACATCCTCTAAAAGACCCTCCCTTATGTAGATACTCTGCTTAGTATAGTATACTATGTTGGCAGTACCTGGGCAACTAGCTTGTGTACTTTTTAGAAACTTTTGCCTTAAATATATTTTCATTATATTCCTTAATTTGTATTCTACTCCAATTTTTCATCCCTCATCCCCAAATACTTTTAACACATTAGAATATATGTATAAGTATTCAGTTAACTCATGTAAATAGGTGAGCAGTTAATCATGCTTATTATTCATTCACTCAACATCCATGGAGTTCCTGCTTAGTTTCTGGTATCCTTCTGGAAAGGAGCAGTACAGCATTGGATGACAAACATCCCTGTGCTCTTGGAGCTTATTATCTCCTAGCAAAAGACTACCAGGTACTGATTAATGCTATGACAAAAGTACATGCAAAGGTGTGACTAGAGCCAAAACATAAAATGAAATAAACAGTTGGGTATGGCCTCCTTGAGGAGTTAACAATTAACCTAACACCAGAGTGACAGATAGGAAGCAGTTATGGAAAGATCAGAAAGAAGAGCCTTTGAAGTGGTATTGGGCAAGAATGAACTTGAGATGTTGGTTTGAGGGTAGTGATGAAGAGGATGTCTATTTAGAACATTAGGGGTTTGAGGTGCTGCAAAAGTAGAGATACAGCCAATAAAGATGCCCTATATGTAGTATGGTTGACATCCTGGTAGTGGTGGTGGCAAGAGAAGGGAATGGGGCAAATGTATAAATTAGCATATCACACTCATAGAACATGACTAGAGGAAATGAGTACCTTCTGGGATAATGTAGCCATAGAAAATACAGAAAGCCAGGGGCTGCCTGAGTGGCATAGTCAATTAAGCATACAATTCTTGGTTTTGGCTCAGTTTACAATCTCAGGATCAAAAGATTGAACCCCTCACTGGCCTCTGTGCTCAGCATGGAGTCTGCTTGAAATTCTGTCTCCTTCTCCCTCTGCCCTGCATGCTTATAATTGAAAGTTTAATTTTATTTATTTGAGAGAACCTGACATCATGACCTGAGCCAAAGACAGTGCTTAGTTGACTGAGCCACCTAGGCAACCATAAATAAATATTAAAAAAAAAAAAGAAAAAGAAAGAAAGAAAGCCAGCCAGCCTCAACATTTAAAAGTAAAATGAGGAGGGGCATCTGAGTGGCTCAGTGTCTAACTCCAGACTTTGGCTCAGGTCTTGATATCATGGTCATGATTTCAAGCTCTGTGTGGCATGGAGCCCAATTTAAAAAAATTTAAAAAGAGGTGCCTGGGCAGCTCAGTCAGTTAAACATCTGCCTTTGGCTCAGGTCATGATCTCAGGGCCCTGGGATTGAGCTCCGCATGTCAAACTCTGTGCTCAGCAGGGAGTCTGCTTAAGTCTGTCCCTCTCCGTTTGCCCCTACCACCACTCATGCTCTCTGTCACTCTCTAAATAAATAAAATCTTAAACTAAAGCAGCCCAAGTAGAGTCACATGAATTTGCTGATTTTTGGCCATTTTTGACCTGCAAAAAAACCATTTTTTTTCTATGGCCCAAACTTATAATATGCATACATAAAATAGTTTAGAATACACAAACTGCAATAGAGCTTATAGATATTTTAAGTTTTCTCTTTTTTTTCTAAGCTTTTTGAAATGCTTTCACAAAATTTTAATACAAAAATAAGGGACATATTAAATGCCTCTTAAACTAAATATTGCCCATTTCAGCTTAATCTTTAGGTCAAGTCATAATAATTCCTGAACAGAACAGGCAAAGACAGAATCAGATATGTGTAATTATTCAAGTTTTGAGTCTTTGTATTATGTTCTAATGGGTTAAAACATCTACTACGTACTTCAAGATCCCTTAGGATGTGTGTTTCTTATGGACTCAGATGTTAAAAAACAAAACAAAACAATACCAACCCCCCCCCAAAACTTAAAATGAACCCATGTGTTTCACAAGATATATCTTTAAAAATACGTCTATTGGCTTAAATGTTTATATTTTCTTTTGTTCCAGGCTTATTTATATTTATTTTCCACTGTGCTATGAAGGAGAATGTTCAGAAACAGTGGAGGCGGCATCTCTGCTGTGGTAGATTTCGGTTAGCAGACAACTCAGGTAAAGGGTGATGTTGGTAATTGGTTTTTATACCTAAGAGTGGTCAGAAAGGTTTGTCATTTGGTCTTCCATTGTCAGAGTTTCCCACTGGTAGCAGATTGTAAAGATGCATGTGAAGATGCTTAGTTGGAGTATTAGATTATTAGGATTGAAAGAGATCTGAGGACTCTGGACCTGAACTTTCTGTTCTACAGAGAAGCATGAATTCCAGCCAGGTGAAGTTAGTTGTCCAAGGTTTTATGTCTAACTTAACAACTCAGATGTTCAGAGGTTCCACTATGCCACGTGCACCTTTCTACGCTCTTGAGGCCCTCAATCGCATTATGAGACAGACATTTTTCTCAGTACAAAAAAATACTTGAAGAATAGCATTACTTCTTTTGGCAGTGATTACTTCTCACCCTGACAAAATTAAAGTAGGATTTTAAACAATATGGGCAACAGGTCAAAGTTTGAAACTTATTTCTTCAGTTTATTATTCTTATGCCAATCTCTTCTCTGAGCCATTGCTAGCATGTAGAAAATGGAATGTTTGAGATAAATTACTTAAATAATGTGGTGATGGTTCTTCACAGTAGAACATAATGCCCCCTAAAATACATTCATGGAGAGATGTTATTTCTTTCAGACTGGAGCAAGACAGCTACCAATATCATCAAGAAAAGTTCCGATAATTTAGGAAAATCTTTGTCCTCAAGTTCCATTGGATCCAACTCAACATACCTTACATCCAAATCTAAATCCAGCTCTACCACTTACTTCAAAAGGAATAGCCACACTGGTGAGTCATTCTGGAGGTGTTAAAGGTGTTCTCTGGTCCATTTCTCGTCATCTTTTTATTACAATTGGCATACTATGAAGATTGAAGGATCACAGTGCCCATTAGGGTGCTTATATTAGATTTATGAAAATCAAAATCTATTTGAAGACCTTATCCAACTTTTGTGAACATTTTGTCTTTTTTTAAGTTTTATAATCAAAATTGAACATTTTGTGAACATTTTATCTTTGAGTTTTAAAACCAAAACTGAATCTACATAGCCATAATATTATTAGCTTTCAATATCACTGTAACTTCATTTGGTTCAAACCGTAGTTTTCTTTTAAAAAATATGATATTTAAAAAGTTATATTAAAAGAATATAGAAACTGAGGTGCAATTATTAATACTACATATTTCCTATTTCATTACTTATTATAAATGTTCATTGGCAAATTGACATGGGAACAGGTAAAAACACCATCCAAGATGTCTTACATTTAAGACTTAAGTCCTTAACAATTGGAAGTGTTATTACCAATTGCTCTTTAAATCACTGATAAAAAATGATAGAATAGAGAGCATCATATTTGGAAAGTGGTACAGGATGGTGAGAAACACCATGTCTTTGTTCATCTTCTGGATCTTCATGATATTTACAGTGACCACAGGTTCTAACACTGAACATGTGTATGAACAGTGCTGAAGGCACTGTGGAAATAAAGATTCTTTTGCAGTACTTGATAGCCAGTGAGTGATGTGGAACATTGCAATCTTTTAATAATTTAAAAGGAAAATAGCAGAATTGCTATTTTGAAATACTAATTATGCCTCAAGGAAACAGCTGTCAACACTTAATACCTAGCACTTTCCTAACTAAAGATGTTTCTAAAAGGATAATGGAAATAACTTAATTTTGAATTTGTGTAGTTATTAAACATAAGCAGAGGTGAATGACACTGAAGATAATTCATATTTGGCTTTTTGCAAATAGGGAGTGTGTTGTGTAATGTATCTGTAGATGTTCACATTGCAAACACTTAAATTTTATATGACTTTTATATACATTTGAATCCTACATGTCCCTGCTTACACCACCATCTGTACCTTGCCACTGGAATGGCCACTGCCTGAGAGTCAAGGTAGCACTATGGAAAAATATTTGAGTGTTTAGAGAGTTTGTTATTTACAAAATTAATCAAAGAAATATCTGAAAACTTAGAGCAGCATGGTATAGCATTTCTAAGTTTCTTGGAGTAGAGGACATTTTTGAGAATCAAAAGAAGCTGTCGACTGTCTTCCAGGATAAGATGTAGCCTCTTAGTCCTGTACACAAACAGTTCTGCCTGAAGTTAAGAAGTCTGTGTATACCTTCTTTAAATACCTGTGTAAGAAAATTGATAACAGATGTATAATCTGAGATATATTTTTCTACCTAATTGGTAGTTCCCTGGCACAAAATGTTTTACTTATGATGAATGTATTTTTCACTTTATTTAATCCCCTCAAAATGAGATACTTATGTGATCATCTCAATAGATGCAGAAAAAGCATTTGACAAAATGAAATATCCTTTCATGATTAAAACAAAGTAGGTTTCAGCAGGAATATACTTCAACGTAATAAAGGCTATGTATGAAAAACCCACTGGTAACATCATGCTCAGTGGTGAAAACTGAGATCTTTTCCTCCAAGATCAGGAATAAGACAAGGATGTGCACTCTCACCACTTTTATTCAACATAGTATTGGAAAACCTAGCCATAGCAATCAGACAAGAAAAAGAAAAGACATCTACACTGGTAAGGAAGAAATAAAACTTCCACTGTTTGCAGATGAAATATTATATTTAGAAAACCCTAAAGATTCCACCAAAAGACTACTAGAAATGATAAATGAATTAAATAAAGTTGTAGGATACAAAATTAATATACTGGAATCTGTTGTATTTTTCTATACACTAACAATGAAGTAGAAGAAAGAGAAATTAAAACAATCCCATTTACAAGGAAAAAGTTAGGTACTCATTTTGCCTCCCCTTCTAAAATGGAAATAGTGCATGGTACATCAATTGTGAATGAATAGGGATTAGACCAACTAAATTGTTTGCCTCTTAACACCGCTGAGAATAGCTAGCCAGAGAAGTGCCACTATTGAAAGTGGAGAGAAGGTAACAAGATAAATCATTTGTAACAGGGGCATTTTGGAAGTGTTAATGAAATATTTAGGCATATTAAGGTTCATGGGAAAATTGATCAAAAGATAAAAGGAAATACAGAAATGGAGGAGGTGCCAAAGAAAACCTTTGCTATTTCAAAGTATTGTGTATGTTTTTTTGTGTTCTTTTTTGTTTTGTTTTTTTAAGGAATGCATTATTGTTTTTCTGTTTCTTATAACAAAACCTTTGGGGTTAAATGAGTTTTTGTCAACTAGCATAAGGACATAGTCAGCTATATGACAGTATTTCTGTGACATAGTAATTTATGCTTTCCAATCAACTGATGCACAAATGATCTTTAGTTCCCTTGCCAGTTCTCAGTGGGACTGCTGGTGTACTTGGGTCCCTTAGAGTATGCAGAAAGTCACTACATATCATCATAGATATCTAGTTGCTTTATTTCTTGGAATTGATCTAGAAATTCATATGTTTATGGTATAGATAATGTCTTCTAAGAGCATTCCTTCAGCAAAAGTGGACCATTCAGGTAAACTTTTATTACTTTTTTGAATGCATGAATTTTTTGCAAGGTAATAAAAGAATATTTGCATGGAATAAACTAAGACTCTTGCTGCACCAGCAAAATCGCTTGTTCTTTACAATACTTCTCAGCTAGCACAATGACATTCCTGCATTGAGCTGGAATTTCTGAAATTTCAAATGGTTGTGTGCTGTGCTGGCTCTTCTCTGCATGGGGGTGTCTGCAAGCTGCTCCTTCTAGGAAATGTACCATGCGCTGGAGTTAATGGGTCACATATCAGATAAAATAATGAAAAAAAAAAACAGTACTTGAGAAGTCTGTTATAGAAGGGAGTGAAATTCTTTACTTTTCCACTGCTCTTATGAATTACTGGATATGTCATGGTACATTCATAGAAGCCATAAAAGAGACATTGTCAATTCCAAGCCTGCTTTTTGAAGATTTTTATCTGCTTGATATTTTAGCATAGGTCAAATAATAGTTCATTTCCCTAGCCCCTGGTTTTCAAACTTGTAGCTATAATCAAAATCTATATTGTTAATGATGTAATATCTAACCAGAGGACTGGAAATAGCATATATGTTGAAATACAGCCCTTGTTCAGAATTCTACTTTATTGACTAAGTAGATCGAGAAAATTGGACCACATATTTGGAAAGAAGCTAGTCAAAATCTCTAAAAGGCATATGTCACTGGAAGTTGTCAATGAAGCAGAATGAGTGTATCCTTGAAGCTTCTTTGAGGATATGTGGATTTTCTAAAAACATCCAGAACAAGTTATTTGTTACTAATGTTTAAATCAATAGAGAAATCTCCAATAGAAAACCAATGGCTAGTGAATATATGAACTGAAGGAGGCACAGAATCAGCTTGCTGAGAGCTCAGTGGGGAGGGGCATTTCTATGGTGACTCCCTAAGCCTTTTTTTTTTTTTTACCAGTCCTGGGATATAATTACTCTGCCATGCTTCAATCTGCCATTCTTCCCATGAACCATCTATTTTCTTCCTTTAGTATGGGTGAACACACCATTTCCTCATTTAGCCTTTATATTATTTTGTCTCCCCCTTCAACACAAGACAGTAGTTGAACAATTTGAGTCATTTCCAAAGATGACAGATATAGTGATGATGGCTTTTACCAATTGCTGATGGATTTTTCATGTTATGTCACATACTGGGTACAACTTACTTAAAGCATAAAAATGCCTGCAAAGAACATTCGAAACTTGGAGCGATGATTCCTAGAAGTAATTTTTCATGATACATTTTTTTGCCTCTTCCACAGTAAATAGAGAAGATACAATGTAGGGAACCGAATAAGTTGTAGGAGGTCACATTTGCTCCTTCATTGGTGTGAAATCTCTGTTACTTTTAGGATAGAATTTTTCCCCAGAATGTGTTGGGAAGGGGAAGAGAATCAATGCTGATAAGATATTCATAAGGTACATGAAGATAGCCATATGTATTTGTGGATAATAGAACTAATAATGTGAGTTTCAGACTACTACCAGAATCAATTTTAGCAGGGTTTTGGATCTAGGGAAATAATATTTAAATACATGATATTAAGCATTAAATTACTAAATTGTATTCCCGAAACTACTATTACATTGTGTGTTAACTAACTGGAATTAAAATAAAAACATAAATAAATAAATAAATAAATAAATAAATAAATAAATAAATAAATAAGAAATTCAGAACAGAGATGTATTTAGCAGTCCTTTATTACTATCAATTGTTCTGATATTATTGCTGTCAGCAATAACATCATTCTGAGGCTGTAACATAGATAATAAAAACACATGCTTACAATATTTGATAATTTTGATTTCTATAATTTAAAAATAATTAAGAAAAGATACCTGTTTGTATTCCATTCATTTTAGAAGTTAAAAACTATGGTAAAATGTGTTCAAAATACCCTTTCATGTTTATTTTCATTTACTTCATTCTCCAAAATCTCTTAGGTTATATGTTATAAAAAAATTTTATTATGAAAAGTGGCAAACATATAAAAAGCACAGAGGATGGTGTAATGAGGCCTCTTGTACCTATCAACTCATGGTCACCTACCCATTTTCCCCTCCTTGTATTATTTTGAAATCATATCTTAGACTTTAAACATTTCTTGCATAGATGTTTTGGCATCTTTTACTTTATTTGCTATATATATTCTGTCCCTGATTCTTTTGAGTTACTTGCCACATATATTTTTGTGGCAATTTTCTGGTTATTCTCTTCATTGACTCTTTAAAAAATATTACTTAACAGTAACATTCTTGAAACAAATTCCAACACACATTACTAGAAGGCAAGTTAGCATTCATTCGTGCATAGGAATGTACTTTGAAGATGAAAAGCAGGAAATTGTAGTGCTGCCTACTACCTAACTTTAGAAAGAACCAGGGCTTCATTTCCTTTGTGTATTTCTTTAATGTGCAAAATAGTATCCAGTTTGATGGCCCTTAGGCATGTCCTCTGCTCATCTTGCAGCCTAAATTCTGATATCATTTCTTGCAGACAATACTTCCATGGACAAATCCTCATCAAAATTGACCCATGCTGATGGAGAACAAACCTCAATCATCCCTGTCCACCAGGTCATTGATAAGGTCAAGGGTTACTGCAATGCTCATTCAGATAACTTCTATAAAAATATCATCATGTCAGACACCTTCAGCCATAGCACAAAGTTTTAACGTGTTTAGTATACAAAAGAATCAGTCTGCAGAAACATGAAGACCTGCAAGCAGTGAAAACCATGACTAGCTCACGTGAATGTGCTATGATCTAGGTAACTGTATGTACATGTATGAGGAATGTATTTTGTTAAGAAGGCTTTTGTGATTTTTTTTTTAAATCTGTTTTTTCAGTGTATTTCTTCCATGGGGGAGTTTTGATCATCACTAAAACTTTAGTACTCAGAGCAACATGACCCAGTAGCCACAGGGGATATGATTTTTTAAAATATATGATTGGATCAGACTAATGAGAATTCAAGGAGGTGGGGGATATTAATGGACAGGGAGAGGCAGAGCTAGGACAAGCATCGTTTAGCACTCATTCACACCCCACTGTTAGGTTTTGGTAAAGCCATTTGCTATATCATCTTTCTCAACAATGTAAAACATAGGAATTGTCATAACTATTTAGATGACCACAAGTCCTTTCTCAGTGCTAGTTTCTATGAATGCAGTAGCATTTCTTTTTCCATAAATTTTCAACCACAGATGCAAAAGAATGCTTAATGTCTGACCCAAAGATTAGAAAGGAATTCTCTCTTATTATACTGTATGTTTAACCTTCAGACATCAATATTGCTTAAGAAAGAATTTCCAATATTTTGACCCTGTTAATACGAGGCCCTGTAAGTTTGTACTGTTTCAGCCATCCTACTCAAGATACAAGGTTTAAGCATCATCATTAATTAGAATTTAACCCATACATTTGATGAAGTAAAATGCTGAGATTCCATTAGTGTGGATTTCCCAACTTGTTGAAGAATAAATCCCTTAGACCTCCCGTTTTGCCCCTCTACCATTTGCTGAGCCCACAGACTTATGAGATGAATGAGGTTTTCCATTAGGCATACTGTGCATAATAGTCTCTCCCCTTTAGAAGAACAATCATTGAGACTCTATAGCCCTTTCCTTGCTCTAGAGACTTTAATTCATCTCCATTTGCACAATTGGAAAGCCTCTTACTTCCTTTTTAAGTGTCTTGTTCCAAAGAATATAAACTGAGACATATGGGTGACTTTGTCTGCAGCAGCCTGGAACAGTCCTGGGAGACATGAGCATTGCTCAGCTTTCACTTTCATAGTGTATATAGTAGGAAAGGAGAGTAAATCTCAAGGTCACTAAAATTCGCTACAGTAGAGCCAAATCCTTTTCTATAGCCGTATTAATAACAGGCTCTTATTCTGGCAGAGGTTGCATGTAGATGAGAATTAATCTTAGTCACTGAATCTTCATATATTTTGCCCCCAGCCTTAGAGATTCATGAGAGAATTTCATTAGCTCTCTAATGTGAAATTTCTACCCAAAGTGCATATTTAGTTAATAGTATTGACAAGATAACTTCCAAAATGGCTTTCATTTCTACTCCTATTCATTCAGATCTGGGAAAACATTTTCTTCTTTTCACCACTGACAACAATGTCAACTCCACTTTTGAAATTTCCAGTAATCAGGTAAGGTGAAATGAAGAAACAGCTGAATAAAAACATTTGTAGATGGATTTAAAAGCCTGAGCCAGATCCACCCTCAGCTCCAAGCATGGGCTTCTCACCTTCATTGGGTTCCTTCAGAAAAGAATTGCAGGAATTTAGCTATAGAGCCAAAATTTAGTTTAGCCTAACCTTGAGAATAATAGCAGATCATATTCCCTGTTTTTTTTTTTCTTCTTCTTGGTCCTTTTTTAAAACTACATTGTGTTAACCTAGGATCCTGAGATATTTCTCTTCCTGTCATCATTCCCTGCATTGTGAAGCTTTTCTTTGTCCATTGTTGGCATAGACTCTTTTGTACATATTTATTTATTTGTGTTTATAAATGCCAGCTTGTTTCATATCTTAGCTCTACATTGCCTGGATTTGTTATTTTAATTAACTTTCTGTCAGAGAGACTGTATATATATTTTTCCTAAATACTTTGTGAAATAGTTTTCTGTAGCAATATCTTTGAATATGATGAATAAAAGTGACTGTGAGTGCAAATTAGAATTAGTAGTAAGAAGCTACTATAGCTGATTTGCCATTTTACTTAAATGGAAAATGTTTTTCAAATAAATACTTACGTTGTTCGTGTTCCAAATTATTCAATTCCTTTATGAGTGAGTGTTTTTATTTCTGACTCTTGAATAGGAAAAGATCCTTTGACAACTGGAAAATAACTTGCCACCAATTAAGCTAGTGACATGGTGCTACTTTGCCAAAACACTAAGAATGAATATATTACAAAGATCCAGCTCACTAGGAATTAATGCATTTTGAAGTTTTTGGATTTTCTTAAAATGACTGATGTGAAGCCAAGCTCTATGGAAGATTAGAAGTAATATAGGTTCCCTTGTGAGGAGGTCTTCAGCATCTCAAAAAGGGAACCAAATCAGTAATATATGGAGTTAGGTCCTGAGATGTTTTCTCACATTTATAGTTGCTGTTTTCATTGTGGGAAACTTAGAAAATGACAGAAGTTAGCCAACTTCACTTGCATGATTAGAACAGAACCTCCCCACATCCCTTTGGTGTGGTTATTTAGGATAACTCTTTTCTTCAGAGAGCCAAGGCCAATTTGGCTGACAGCCTTACTCAGTGCTAAGTTGTGAGGAGTGTTGGCTGGTCACTGCGAAATTAGGTCTTCTGAGCCAACGTTCACAACTCTGGGCCAAGCCATGTTAAGAAAACAGGCAAGCGGTTGCTTCAGATTCATCTCCAGTCACATACAAGCAGGTTACTTCAGAAAACCTAAGGAGTAACTGGCGAGTGGACAGGAAACCCTGATTTGATTCGCTGCCTGACCTATGTTTGTAACATTGTGAAATCTGGAGGAATTAGGCTTTACACATACAATATTTTGGAAGCATCTCTGTGTTTGCAGTTGAGTAACATTCTACTTTTCTTCTATAAAAGCATTTAAGACCTCTCCTGCCCTCCCTCCAGCCCACACCTTCCTTTCTTCCCATCTGCTCTCCTGCTCTTCCTTCCTTTCTTACTCCTCTTTGTTTTAAGGAAGAATCCTTAAAGTAACAGTTTTCTTTTCCTGCCTCCCTAGAGAAAAATAAGAATAAATGTGAAATATTCAGGTGTTTGCATTTATATTCTACAGCCTGTCAAAACAAAAAATGGGGAAAAAATGACAGGTTTTATTGCCAAGGGCAGCCTCAGCCCAAATTGGGCAATTTGGACTCGATAGAAAAAAAAAACCAAAACAAATCTATAAACACACTTGAGCATGAGCTACTTTTTTGCTCTCTCTTCTAATTTTCTGCGGAGTCGTAGGAAAGGGCGGCGTTGTTATTCTAATCTTCCATTTGGGAGAATTGTTGATTAAAGATGGTTAAGCTACCTGCTGTGACTACAGAGGAAGTGAGAGTGGGTTCAAACCTACATCCATTGGACTCTGGGTTCACTCTTCTACATCAGAGTGCCTAGTGATCCCCTTTAAAAAACATGCATCCTCATGAAAGCAGGCATTCCAAGGACAGGATCCATGTCATGAGATCCAGTGAAAGCTTCTAGAACTGCGGACAGAAGCTTTGGGCCAGCAATATATTAGTGACATTGTGGTCTTTGAAGTTCCGAGAGATTCTGATGGGCCTCTCCTGAGAGTAAGGAAAGTCCGTCCAGGCTTGGCATTGGAAAGTCCAGGGCAGTGAGCAGAACACAGCTGAGGGAGGCTTGACCATGGGTTGTGGGAGCAGGAAGAGAGGCTGAATCCAGGTCACAAATGTAAGAGATTAGCGTCTGGCCGGGGCAGGCACAAGGGACACATACAGGCTCTAGGCAGGGAAGGAACTGAATCCTTGCCACAAGGGGACTTTAGGACAGTGACCATAGAAGGACAATTAGAAGGCAGAGGGCCTGGACTTGGAGAGAAGAATGAGGAGGCCTTTGGAGAAGTTGACAGAAGAGGGAAACGATTCAAGGGATGGTGTCTGGGCTCAAGGCACTGGGAGGGAAGTTGCCTGCCACTAGGCTTCCAAAGTGGCAGCCAGCCCACCTTTACTAGGTACCAGCTCACTGTACTTAGAACAGCAGTGAGTCCCCAGGTGTCCCAGATGCCATGGAGTTAGAGGATCTAAGAAACAGCCTCTCAAGAAAAAAAAAAGAAGCTGCTTATGTCAAGAAATGTGGCCAAAGCGGGGAGAAGAAAGGGTGATCTTGTTTAAAGGAGAACGATTGATCCTTGAACAACATGGGTTTGAAATGCACAGATCCATGTACAAGTGGATTGTTTTTGATAAATACAGTAAGCACTGCAAATTATTTGTCTTCCTTATAATTTTCTTAATAACATTCTCTTTTTTTCAGCTTATTTTATTGTAAGAATACATACAGACATACAAACTATGTATTAATCAATAAGGCTTTTGGTCAACAGTAGGTAAGTTTTGGGGAGTCCCAGCTTACACTGGATTGTCAGATATGTGGGGGTAGGCACCCCTAATGCTGTGTTGTTCAAGGGTCAACTGTATAAACATAAAGGAAAGTTGTCTTATAGAGTTTTGTTTCCTGTTTTTGAATGGAATGCAAAGGCCTTTTTGAAGGCAAAAAGAAAGGCAGCAGAAGAATCGATGCTCTATGTGGAGGTGAGAGAGTAAGAACTGTACGGTGGGAGCCGGCCCTGGCAAAGGGAAGAGGCACCATGCCCTTTGGGGGTGGAAAGATGGTTATTACATGAGACAAGGAGGGATGACCAGACTGAGAGTAAGGAAAGCTTGCTGAGTTTCCTGAGTTTTATCATTCAAAATAATTAGAGCCTCATTTCACCTGCTGAGTATCATAACAGAGGTGGTTTAAAAAGATTTGGAACAACCTTACAGGGAATCTCTGGCTAATTTACATTATATAAGGTAATAAGCGGTGTTTGCCCTTAGAGTAGGCTTAACAAGTATGTTCCCCAAATCATCTCTTTAAAATATCTGTATTTGGTATGTTTTGAAAAGCTAGTTTAGTTCAAGGTCATAACCAAACACTTAATATTCTAAATTCTCAAACCTTAATGATTAAGGATTTATTTTAAACATTTATGAATAATTGGATGATGAATAACTTCAGACATATCCCCAAAATCTTTTGAATCTTTCAAATGACATCTTCTGGTTGGCTTGACTTATTTTCATTCTGACTTGGCTTAAGTGATTTTTATAAATTCAAGATGCCAGTGAGAATAAAACATTTGATATTCATGTAATATACATTTTAATATTAATATTTATAGTGTCTAGTTGCACTGCATCAGAAAATAACAATGCAAAAGAAAGACCTCTAGAGCACTGCAGTATTTTCCTGCTTCATCATCCTGAAGCTCAATCAATCAAGAATACTAAGTGACTACAACCCTATAACCTTCCTACTAGGAATTTGCTGGCCAGAATGAACAGATAGGACATGAAACCATTTTAACTCAAAAAATAAGGTTTATCTGTAAAGATCTGAGATGTAATCACTACTGCCAAATAAAAGCTAATGGATTGTCTTCCATAACACAATAGCAATAAATATAAAGTGTCCGCATAAATTGGCACATTGTTTTTTAAAATTTCATACATCTATGGCCTTTCTAGTGAATGAAGTTAATATTAAAATCATCATTTTCGTAGGCGATAGCATATTGCTAGCCACATAACAGGTGCTTAGTTTTAACGTTTATTGAGTTAAGTTGAAATTCATATGTAGTTTTCTGGGTCCATTTGCATTTTTTATTTTGGAAAAGTAGATCTCCAAAGTATCTTGGATTTTGGTGGATTTGCAAGAACATAGATTAGGAATACAAATTAAGGGGAGAGTATTAGCATTAACCTAATTATTGTATGTCACCTTATATGATACAGGCAAGTGTGATAAGAATTTAAAAAATCATGTTGGTATTCACTCAATCCTTTTTTAATAGTATTGGAAAAGGAATTAGGTTCAACTCAAGTCTGAGATTAAAAAATACGTAAACCTGCTTTTGAACAGTTGTCTTGAGAACTGTTTAATGGCTCAAACTAACTTCAATATTAGGGAATTTAATGTAAGAGCATAGAGGGTCCTCATGGAGCCTGGCAGCCACACTTGTAGCCAGACTTTGAGGAATCTGGGACCACAGGATGATGGTCTTGGGCATCAAGCAATTTCTTTGTGATGCTATACTTGTTTGTTTTGTTTATAAGACTTCATTTTTTTTTTTGTTCACAGCAATATTGAGAAGGACGTAGAGTTTCCCGATCCACCCCTGCCCCTACTCTGACTCAGCCTCCCCCACTGTCACTATCCCCCACCAGAGTGGTACATTTATTACAATTGATGGACTTCTACTGACACATCATTATCACCCAAAGACTATAGTTCACCTTAGGACTGACTTCGATGGTACACACTCTAGGGATTTGGACAAGCGTCTAGGGGCATGTGTCCATCACACAGAGTATTTTTCACTCCTAAAAATTCACTGTGCTCTGCCTCTTCATCGCTTCCTCCCCCTAACACCTGGCAACCACTCTTTCACTTTTCCAAAGTGTTGTCTAGTTGGGATCATACAGTATATAGAGCCTTTTCAGATTGGCTTCTTTTACTTTGTAAAGTGCATTTAAAGTTCCCCTTTGTCTTTTAATGGCTTGATAATTCATTTCTTTTTAGCACTGTATAATAATTTATTGCCTGGATGTACCACAGTGTATTTATAGATTCACCTATCAGGTCATCTGGTTACTTCCAACTTTTGGTAATTATTTTTTTAAATTTTATTTATTTGAAACACCACAAGTGGGGAGGGGGCAAAGGGAGAGAGAGAGAGAGAGAGAGAGAGAGAGAGAGAGAGAGATTGAAGCAGGGAGCCCTACGTGGGGCTCCCTCCCAGGACCCCGGGATCATGACCTGAGCCGAAAGCAGACACTTAACCGACTGAGCCACCCAGGTGCCCCAAGTTTGGGCAATGATAACTAAAGGTGCTATAAATATCCAGGTGCAGGTTTTTGTGTGAACCTAAGTTTTCCACTCTTTTGGATAAATACCAAGGACAATGGCTGGATTGTATGGTGAGACTGTTTAGTTTTGTAAGAAACCACCTGATAGTCTACAAAGTAGTGAAGTGATGGTGTTTCAT